AAATTATTAAATGGATGCCACCTTATTGGGACAAAAGCCCTCCCTACACCTAACCCTACCCGATACTTTATTTTCAACTTTTTGATTATTTCCTTCATTTTTATTAAAAATAAATGCTTTTCTGATGTGATTTGAAATTTGAAAAGGGAGAAGAAAAGTTCGCCAAAAGGCAGATTCGAACCCGGGTCGATCACGTCAAAAGGAGTATGACACACGCTTTACCAACTACGTCACTGAATCTGACGATTGATGACCGTCTTTTGTAATGTTGACTATCCCAATCACACGTTGGTGGGTGGAGTTAGTGTAAATAGCCTCTGCACTTCTTTTTTTTATTCCCAACAGTTAAACAGTTGCCCACAGAAAAAAACAGGGGGTGCTGCAGCACCCTCAGCACCCCCACTTCCCGCGCCTATGCAAAGACCCTGCCTGGTTATGCAGGTCTGAGATCAGTTTTGTTATTTCCTAAACATAAGCATGACACAGTTTCACCAGGAAAAGCTGAACCCAGATCAGCATGACTTTGTCACCGGGTTTTTCCCATCTGTGATACAGACGGCTTTACCTGGCTGGAATGCGGGCGACTCTGCCCTCCGTGGTAGATGTGCTAAAGGTTAACTTCAAACAGTCATCAGTGTGCTCGGCATATGGAAATCTCCAAGAGGAAGAAAGCAATGAATGATGGCTGTGGACATGCTTAGAATATTTTCCCGGCACACAGTTATCAGCACTGTTTGTCCCTGACAGTATTTATGAACGTTAATATATTATGATTGTGAAATTGCTGTTTTTATAGTTAAAAATGACATAGGTCATGTATGGCTTTAAAAATTATTTATAATTAAGTGTATGCACACAAAATAATGCCTAGATTATATAAGTTTTGTATGACTCACCTGTAGACATCTGGAAAGATGACCTTTAGCTTGGCTGATGCAAAAAGTGGAAATTATCATGAGTAAGTCTTTAGCCTTGAGTTGACTTTCATGTCCACAAATGATAACAAGCATTTTTTTTTTTTTATGTCAGAGCCAATGTAACATCTAAAGGCATTGTTTTTTGTGGATGTATTCTGAGGATGGTACAATATGTTTTGGCAAATCTTTGTCTCTCTATTTGTCTTTGTCTCTCCATCTATTTATCCACCCATCCATTATATCTGTTTGTCTTTCTTACAGTTACATATATATCTATCTGTTTGTCTTGTAGTCTTTATCTAAATCTTAATGAACAAAGGTTTCCCTACTGTCCTCCAGTTGCGTGATCAGTTGCTGAATTTCACAGCACTTTGTAACCGCAATCATGATGTTTGATGTCCTTTGAAGAAGGCCGGATGAGCTTTTTCCATCTGTCAAGGATGGATTCACCTCCAAACTGACCCATCACCCCATCTTCCAGTGGAGTAGACATAACCTGGCAGGCTTCACCGGTGTCAGGGCCTAGACCCAGACCCCCTCCAGCCCCAAACTCTGTTCACCCATTGGTTCCCTGGCCCCTTCCCCTTGCACCCTCCAATCAGAGCCCTCCCAATGACACCTAGAGGAGGAAGTGGGCTCTCTCCCCACCCCTCCCCTCTCTCTCCTAGCAACAGGCCATTTTTCTGACCGAGTCTAGCGTCCCCTTTTTGACAGTAATGATTTCCGAGCAAGTACATTTTTTTGTGTTAAGATTGGTTTTCATATCTGTAAGTGACATTGACAGAATAGCTGTTGTGGTTTGGGAAGGATCAGAGACAGATAGCTGATAGTGCTACGGAATAACGATGGGGATCGCATGGAGAGAGAGGCAGAGATAGAGAGGGAGGACAGAGCAAGAATGAGTGATAGCGACAGAAGTTGAATCAAAGACTGACGGTGTCCTCACAGTCTTCTCAGCAGAGTTCATGAGATATCTGATAACCGCAAAGCACAACCTGTTTTGTCTCATGCTGTATGTGAGATTGGCCATTTTCCACATGGTGATAGAATATATGTTGTTTTCCACAGTGGTTTTTGTGGTTACCTCTCAGGCATGCTTTCGATAGCACGTTCACAAAGCTATATCTGAAAGGCTTGATGTCACCTAGTAGGCTGTACTATTTGTTTTTAAGGAGTTAAATGGCTATTTAGGCTTAGCTCTAGGCTACTTTTTAGGTAATGCAGGTTTTCTGATATCTTCCAAATCTTTATGACTTCCTTTTATCTGTGGAGTACAAAATATTATATTTTAGAAAAGTGTTGCCTTTGGGATATGCCGAGACACTTAATTTTTGAATGCTGTTGAATTTTACATGCATTTTACTATCAACTCTGAAATACATAGACTACCCATTTTGACCCTTTAATCTATCAATGAAATTGTCTTCCACTCTTAAAAGGTGGTATGTTATGAATTATCTCTAAACTAAACCAAAATACTTTCCTACAGTGAATAAACAGGCCTTTAGACCATGGCAGATATCGATGAGTCCTCCCTTTTCCAGCCAGACTTTTAACCATGACAGTTACTGGGTTTGTAATAATCGAGGCTTCGCCCAGAAAGATACTGGCACAAATAACATGGATTGGATAAATGGCTTATTCCCTTGGACCCACCATGTTATAATTTCACACAGTTAGACCAGAAATGTTCGCTTAAAGGGATAGTTCACTCAAAAATGAAAATGTTGTCAGAATTTACACAGCCTCATGTTGTTCCAAATCTGCCTTACTTTCCTCAGTGGAACACGAAAGAGCATTTTAAAATCACAATGAGTGGATTTGGAACAACATGAAGATGAGTAATTGATGATAGAATTTTCTATTTTGGGTGAATTATGTCTTTAATATTTTGCGTTACACTGTCTCCTAGAATGAGTCCTTTGTTTTTAGCCCATTGTCACTATTAGCCACAGCTTGACGTCATATTTCGGTAATTGCCTTTTGCCCCGATGCTGAGTACTTTGTGATTTAATTGCAGGTGAAAGTTACAAGAGGATTATTGCTTGTTTGTTTTTTAGTGCAATGTTGTTGTTGGACATTGTGCTCCCAGTGATAGCATTGTTGATCTGTGATGCTTGAACGGAGTGCCTCAAGTTTCGCTACTGGGCCCTTTTTGTGTTTTTGCTGTCATGTCCTCAGGTGTGTCTATGTGCACGTGTGCCTGCTCATTTGCTTTACCATCTTTGACTTGTATTCCCCCTTCCCTCAAAAAAACATCTGAAGCATCGTTATCGCCGACCAGACCTCTTTTTATTTTCTGTGGAATTACTGAATCATGTCAGCTCAACGTCCCTTGAGTTTCAAATGCAAGCTGTAGAAAAATTAGCCATTGCTTCCGCATGACAAGTGGGATCTATTAGTCTGCTCTGGCCCATAGAGCATGAGCACGCTCAGTCCACATGGGACCCTCTGTTTCAGTAACACGCACACACACATATGCACATCCATTCGTGCCTCTGTGGCATTACTCATGCTTTATAAGGTCAGACATAAAGATGCACCAGGTGCTTCTGGGCTACACCAACAGACATGAACATATTCACAGATCTGTTTAGCATTCTGTATGTGATTTCCTATTAATTTCCATTGCGTGGAGGTCAACTGTGACAGCAAGGCGACTGCCTGGTCCGTGTGACAGCAACATACTGACCTGCCTGACCTTGCTTAGGCACAGCCTGTGGCAGCGCTAGGAAGCATTAACACAGTCGAAGCTAGCTTTCAGTCAATGTCACGGCTTACAGCATCTCCGTTCCAATATGCTGTCAGATTTTTCTGTATTTTACATCGCTTTAAGCTGTACACAACTGTAGTTTTACATACTATTTATTTTAAATAAAGAAAATGTATTTAATGTTTTTTATCTCTCTTTCTTTCAGGTATTTCAGTAACAAAGAAGACACACACTTGTAAGTAGTTATTTTTTAATTAAATTGGTAATTCAAATTAAATTATTTGGATATTAAGTATCATTTTAATATTATTGTTTTTTATTATTTTTTTATTGTAATTTTCAAGACATACTTTGACAAGTTTGTCAGGTTATATATATATATATATATATATATATATATATATATAC